TATCTCATAATAATAGTTATGACCAGAGATGGGTTTCTACCAGTTTGGCTGATTTAGATAGTAACTCAGCCTGCCATGCCCCCAAACCGATTCTATCTTGTTTTTTGTTTGCTACCATTCTTAGTACTCCGCATGCATGCATAGTGGCATCAAGTGCATGCAAAGCGCGCACAGTGCATCCCTGAGTGAACTGGCAGTAGCAGCAACTGGAACCCTCCCCTGAGCATAACTATTATTATGAGATAAGCCCAGGAGCAAAACACAGCATACAGAGCCTTTAGACAGTTAATAGTGGTTTATATATAAATATATGCAGACATGGACATGGCGATAAATGCCTTACCACACAGCTACAGACACAAGGAGAGAAATGAGATACATGATGAGAGAAAGAAAAACGTCCTCTAATGGCCATCTATATATAGACACCTCACCAGAGTCTCCACCCCGCCAGAGTCATAAAGAAGCAATACCATATATTGCCGAATCATCCTCATTGCATCAGCTTACAGCTTACAACCTTACATCAGCTGGCAGCTATTAAATCCTCAGTTACCTGACAAATAATTTCAAATGTGACAATATTTGGATATGCCAGAATCAATATCAAAGAGGTCAAAATTCCAGCAGGGCAGCCTATTGAGTGATGAAGGGAGCTGAGATACTCAGCGGCTTCTATACTTTTTTCTTTGTTTGTTACCATTTAATAACCATATCCTTGAGAGTAAAATCTATGAAACCTCAGTGAGCAGAGGTACATGTCAATATATCATTAACTGATTTTGCAATACGTCTACCCTATCTTTTTTTCCCCCATGATGAAATTCAATTGCATTCCTGAGTAGTTTCCCCCAATAACTACTTAATAGATACTTTTCTTCAGCAAAGTGGTTACATTAGACTATAATCTGGTATATACGAAGATATTATGGCTAATCCATGAAAGGAAATTCCAGTGCTGTCAATAATGTTCAGATAGAATAATAATATTTAGACCCATATTATCTTTGCTAGTTTTTCTCAACCTGGTTCTTTCAGATTACAAGTGCCAGAATTTTGGGAGGACATCTCAATTTCATTAGAAATGCCATATGTGAAGTTAAAAACTTTAGAATGCAAAACATATGCTGTGATGTTGGAACATATGCCTCTAAGCTACATCTGGAATGTTTTGCCATGTTGAATGTTTAACTCTTGTTACACCATGGATTGAAAATTTAGGTAGTGCCATAGTGACCTTCTCCAAAGCACCTTAACCCAGATATACTTGATTAACCTGTTGCAACATTCTTGGTCTATTGGATTTGACAGAGATTAACCATGTCTTCATTCACTCACTGAGCAGAATTAAGTCAGAACTGATGAAGCTTCTTGGATGAGAAGCAAAACTTCTTCTACTTACTGATCAGAACTCAGTCAGAACTGTCAGTCAGAACTAATAAAGCTTCTTGGGATGAGAAGCAAAACTTCTTCTTCCACAAGGGAAAAAAATACTTAACTTGCCTTTTTAAAAAGCACCTTTGAGACAACCATGAGATGACTGTGAATCTTTCTGTCCTGTGTTCTCAACATTTAGAAAAGATCTTCCATCTCTTTTTACAGGCCCTTCATTGTGAAAAGAGTTTAGTGTGACGTTCAGTGTGAATCCTGTCTTTCTACTGGTAACAAGTACTGAAAGCAGATAACACAAGTTGAAAAGCAAAACCAATATTGAAGAGTTTAGTTTTTAAAAAATAGCATTAGCTATTCAGAGGAGAAAGGCAGGACTGAAATTGAATAAACCAAATCGGGGGAGGGGGGGGGAGCCAGTGTGCTTTCCAAGTGCAACAAGATTCCTCACCCCATTCTAGATCACGTGATATTTTTCTGTGAAGCTTTGCCCAAGTCCTTCCACTCTCACTGTTTTTCTGCTTGAGTGGAGAATGTATCTTAGATAGAACACACCCCACTCTCCTCCGCAGAATATTTCCTGGAGCGGCATAGCTGGAAAAAACCACAGCTATGCTGCTCCAGGAAATATTCTACAGCATTCTTTGGACCCAACGAAAGGATCAACGCAAAAGGCTCAATTTGTCTCCATCGTGGCATTAAGCCACTAACCTGAACAGGAGGCGGCTTGTGCAAACCCAGAGAGTAAACTTGGAGAGCCGCTTCAAGGAGATTTGCTCTGAAAAGAAATTTTTGAACAGTGATCCTTATGTTAACCTGTTTGTCTTTCAGAGAACTGACCTTACAGAAAGGTGACATTGTCTACATTCACAAAGAAATAGACAAAAACTGGCTTGAAGGAGAGCACCATGGCAGGGTGGGCATTTTCCCCGCTAATTACGTGGAGGTAAGCTTCTGGAGCCATTGGGACTTTTGGGCTGCCCAAGTCAAATTGAAATAGATTTTGTATACCTATACAGAAGAGAGATGGGACACGGTGGCTCGGTGGCTAAGACTCTAAGCTTGTCGATCAGAAAAGTCGGCAGTTTGGTGGTTCGAATCCCCAGTGCCACGTAACGGAGTGAGCTCCCGTTACTTGTCCCAGCTTCTGCCAACCTAGCAGCTCAAAAGCACGTAAAAAATGCAAGTAGAAAAATATGGACCATCTTTGAAAACTTTGGATGACCTCAAGGGGTACCCAAAAACTTTAGGGAGATTTCATTCGTTTTGCATCCCTGGCATATATATGCATAGCAAATGAAAGACCCTTTCATTAAGGCTTACTATTTGAATGTAGGCCTTGACCCAATTGCATTTAACCGTGGTTCAATTATTCCTATGTCTACCATTAGCGTGGAGACAGAGCACCAGTAGTAGCTGTGGTGAGTGTTGTGAGATACAGACGTTTCGCTCCTCCTTAGTTGTTCAGGTGTTTCTCAGCCTTGATCCTCTTCCTTAGTATTGTATTTACTCTCTTGCTTCTTTCTGGATCTGTTTCAGGTCATTTGCATATGTTGCTTTCTTGCACATTGTTTTGACTTGTTGTTGTTAGTTGCGAAGTCGTGTCCAACCCATCACGACCCCATGGACCACGTTCCTGCAGGCCTTCCTGTCCTCTACCATCCTCTGGAGTCCATTTAAGCCTATGCCTACTGCTTCAGCGACTCCATCCAGCCACCTCGTTCTCTGTCATCCCCT